TTCTTCAGCTTCAGAGTTTACTCAAGCTTACTCATCCTCAGGAGCTTCACTAAAACTCCCCTGGACAAGCCCTAGAGCAATGGTAATCTAAGTATTATGCTAACCATGCCAGATGAGGCTTTTGAATAGGAAAACTCCAGAAAAGATATTTAAATTAACATCTTCAAAGACTAAGATGTAGCAGGGACCTGAAGTGGTATCTGCAGCCAGTTCCTTGCCTCTAAAGCAACCATGGGAACATTGCTAAGCACAAATTGATTTCCCAGCACAGGCATTTGTTTCAGAGCATGAAACTAGTTGCTCCCTCACCCTCTGAACTACACAGGACAGAGGAAAATAAAGCAGGAAATGATTAGAAAGATTAATAGTACAGCAAGACCTTGATCTTGTGATAAAATGCTCCTGATACCCAACTGGGCAGCAGTATCCAAATTCCTCAGGCTTCTTTACAGTATCAGCTCTCCAACTCTGAAAGAACAAATAGCAGGGAGGATTTCTGAAGAGATGAAAATGGTACATTTTCAACAGCCTGAGATGATTACCCACCAAATAGCAACAGCACAGAGGTAACTGATTGCCTCCCGGGCAAAAGTCAAAGTCTTTGCATCGTGGCAATGAAAGGATACCGAGATCAAAGGGAAAAAGGGAAAACTCTATTTTAGGCTGTCAGGAGCATAAAGGTCCTTCTGGCCCCTTGGCATCATGAGATACCAAGACACAACTGAAATCCTTCTTATGCTGCACCTGCCCAAGATCACTGTGCAGGAAGGAGAAACCCTTTATTCCAGGAGCAGGATGCAGCTCCTGCCTCATTCCCAGCTGAATTTTGGCAGCGCCCATGCAAACACCACCACTCCCACCAACAGGAGCCAGGACACAGCAACCACAGTGTGCCACTGGTGCTCTGAAATAGGAAGTGAGATAAGCCAAATGCTGAGCGAGGTGTTATTAATAACACTTAGCTATTGATTGCACGTTACATCTTCAAGCACTTCACCAACACTAATTAATTAAGGTGTTTTCCATTTAATGTGGGAAGGAGACTACAGCAAAAACATATGGCTAAATGGACTGACTGCCTGATTGAGCACAGCAAGTCATCACCCAGACTTCAGATTTCCACAGACACTGCTTTTTAAAACCAAAGTACTGAAAACACAGGTGCAGGTTGGGCAAAGACACAAAGCCAAAAGATCAGAGGTGCACCCAGCACACACAGGGAGGTCACGGCTGACCACTGACCTGCCACAGCACCTGCTGTGATGCTCTGTTTGCATCCCCCCCCCACATCCCCAGCATCCCACCCCACCACTGCAGCCTGACCTGCACCACCAGGCACATCTTTTGCTCACAACCAATCCAACCCACCCGAATTCCAACAAGAGCTGCAACACGAGGGTGCTGACACGCGGCCGCACTGATGTTCCCGAGCGCTGCCTGTAATTGCTGTGCTAAGAGCCGGGGACATGAAGTATTGATTTCCACCCTGATCTGCATCCAAGTTTAGAGAGGCTGCAGCCAAAATACTTCTCCCAGCAAACTCGCCTTTTAAAAGAGACTGTCAGGACCGAGAGGTTCGAATGATTAACACTCTCGCTGAGGACTGTAACAATGCACAAGTTCCATTCCTGCCCACCTACGCACACCCACCATCCTGCTCTCCCTCTTTGCTGAATTCTTCCAGTTTTGATTTAAATTACGGAAAAGAGGCCCTCGAAGTGTACCTTGCCACGGCAAAAATAGCTCATTGTAGCACAGAGAAGTCTCAGTGTGCACAAAAGGGGCAGAGCTATTACCTCGAGCTGTCTCAAGCTGTACCATAATTACACAAATAACACATTTGACAAACTCAGGATTAATTACCGACTGAGCAGGGCACAGAGACACGTTCACCTCCTTCCACACGACTTGGGACTGACCTGGAGCACCTGCCTGCAGTGCTGGGATCACCAAGCTCCTTCCTATGAAGGAGTAGAAATCCTTCCCCGTGAGGGTGGTGAGGCTCCAGCACAGGTTGCCCAAAGAAGCTGTGGCTGCCCCATCCCTGGAAGTGTCCAAGGCCAGGTTGGACAGGGCTTGGAGCAACCTGGGCTAGAGGAAGGTGTCCCTGCCCATGCCAGGAGGGTTGAAACAACATAAGCCTTAAGGCCCCTTCTGACCCAAACCATTCCATGATTCTATAAGCAAAGGGTCTTGGTGATTCCACCACGTGCTCCTGCACCAGGACCAAAGCTTTGGCCATCCAAGCATCGCCACCATACCCCAAATTTGCACTTGCAGGTAAGTGGCTGCCACCCCATTCCCCATCCTCCTGCCTGCCTTTAATATATTTGCATAAATCAAACAGCCTGGCAGCCCTCCTACTTAGAAGACACACAACAGCAGAGCTATTCAGAGATTCTTGTTTTCACCCCATCCTTCCGAACATCGTCTCCAAATCCTTGAGGAAAAGCATATGGCTCACTATAGATATCTCAGGCCTGTCTATACAAACACAGAGTGATGCAGCAGAGCATTTATGGCAGTGTATAAACAATAGTACCAAACTCAGGGAGGAAACACAAAGCAGAGCAAATCTAATTGGTGGGGTTTGTGGAGATCAAGTACTCTCCCCCCTCTCCTCCCTAAGCATGATGAACACAACACTCTTCAGGTGTAATTTTACACTTAACTGATTGGCTTCTGCTACAAAACCAGTGGTACATGGCTGGGCATATGACAGTTTTAGTATCAGCCTCTTAAACTTGTTGTGAAGGACAAAAATTCATCTACAGCCACAAGGCCACGTAGTCACACCTTGTTGGGGAAGTGTCCTTTCTCCTAACTCCTGGGCATCAGCACTGTGAGCTAAATTTGCCAGCTTAAAGACTGGGAAGGTGGACCAAACATCCAGCAGCCATTGAAAATATCACTCTGGCACCCAGCTGAAGATGGGCCCACTCGTCACAGGGACCCCACAGCTCTGAAGCACGTGTAATTATAGTTATTAAGCAGAAACACGCACACTTTGGGGAATGGAGTGCATTTCTTTGGCACCTTTACAGTGTACTGACTGTTTCCCAGCGTGCTGATAGTAAAGGAACACAAAGAGGAGTTTTTCCATTGCTAGACAGACTAGAAAACCTCTGAGGAATATCAAACAGAAGCCCTAACCCTTGAAGAACCTCACAGACATCCCTCCCTTGCCGGGACACGCTGCAGGAACACAGGCAGTGCCCCTCTGCAGAAACACACCCTTCTTCCCAGAACTGTCCCGAGAAAAAACAAAACCAAACACTGAGTACAAACACAGAAATCAGCGTGGACGAGAGCAGCCAAAGCATTTTACCTGCTTTCCTGGCTGGAAGGCTGCATTTCCACGTTCATGCCCTGTACAGCATGTCACCATCTGCATTCCTGATCGCCCTGCTCCACAGGGGAGGATGGAGGCCGGCATCCTCCTTCTGCCCTTTCAGCAGATTTTTATAAAAGAAAGCTCCTCGGTAGCCTGGCTGCAGAGTGTGGCAGAGAGTGGCTGAGATTATACCAACAGCACAGCAGCTCAGAAAATACCTGCCCCACACAGGTAACTTCACTCCCTGCATCCCCGCAGCCCCCGGGAAGCTCGGCTGGGTCCAGCCCCTGCTGCACAGCAAACCCACCTGGTGATGGATTAACTGTGTTTAACGAGTGCGATTCACACCCCACACCCCCGCTACCGAAACACAGAGATACAACAAGCTGCATGGAATACATTCGCTAATTAATCCCTCTCAATCAGTTTGCATTAACGCCACAAACAACAATCGCATCAGTTCCAACCACGACGGGGTGGGGAGTTGGAACCAGATGATCTTTAAGATCCCTTCCAACCCAAACTGTTCTGTGGTTCTACAATTCCATGCATGCATCCTGGCGGGAGCAGCGATACCCACCAGGAGCTACGCTACCTTTAAAAAGCTTCCCCAAACCGCCACTGTTATTTTAAATAACGCTGAACCATTGTACCAAGAGATACTCACAGTAAATAAGTAACGAGTAAATAACAGCTACTGACGTTTTTATCACACAGGTGTAAATTCAGTTATCGAGAAAGGGGAGGGCTTGCACTATTTTTGCTCTGACACCAAGGCTGCTCGGGGTAAATTGTCATGCAAGCTTGTAATTATTTGGGAAATATACAGAAACGTTTAAATACGAATATATACACAGTACCAGTGATCACGACACACTTTGATTAGTAGGGAACTGAATTTCAGCGCGGGGAGAGCAGGACCCCACCACGAGCACTGCAGGAGCGATTCAGACCCTGTTCTTCAACCTCCACGCAAAGCCTCCTCCCGCACCCCCTGCACCCCCCTTTTCCACGCTCGGCCCTCCAGCTTGGAGACAACTTTTCAGGGATTTGGGGAGCAGAGGGGGGGGTGCGCATCGCACAGGGGCTGTTCGAGCCTCCCCCCGCTCCGTGCCGGGGTGCCGGCTGTTCGGGGTGGGCTCCCGCCGCCGTGCGCGGCCCCGACCCCGCAGCCCCCCCGGACCCCCGGGACGGGCCGGGCCGAGCCCGGCGCGGGGCCGGGGGGAGCGGCGGGGCCGGAGCGGCGGATCCGCGGCGGTAACATGGCTGCTTTCCTACCGAATTACGAAACCGGCTGTGCGAGCGGGGATTACCGGGGAGAGCCGGCGTGGGGAGACCCCGGGGCGGGGAGCGGCGATGGGAATGGAGGGGGTGGCGATGGTGGCGGGGAGCACAGCGAGGGGACGCGGGGGGCGGCGAGGCTTTGGGGCAGGGATGGGGGTCCCTCCTCGTGCCGGGGGGGGGGGGGCGCGGGAGCCGAACGAGGCGCCAGCCAGCAGCGAACTACCCATCTCCAAACCCACCGCCCGACCCGCGACCGGGGGGCCCGACGGGACGCGCCCCCCGAAAACACACAATGAACAATAACAGCGAGCGGAGGCGGCGGCCGGGGGGTGCCCCCCGTGCCCTGAGCCCCCCCTCGCCCCCTGCCCGCGGCGGGACCCACCTTGAGCGCCGTGCGGGCCGTGCTCCATGGCCGGGTCGCTGCCCAGCTCGGCCAGGCGCCGGCCGGTGGCCGCCAGCTCGGCGCGCAGCGCCGTCACCTCCTGGCCCGCCGCCTGCAGCGCCCCGTCGATGCGCAGCGCCAGCTGCTTGTTGTCGTCCATCATGTGCAGGATTTTGGCCTGGGGGGAGGGAGGAAGAGGAGGAGAGAGAGAGAGAGAGAGAGAGGTGAGAGAGGGAGCGGCGGGAGGGGGGGGGGGCGGGCAGGGGGCTGAGCTGGGCGGAGGGGGGGGGCAAAGGGGCTGCGAAGGGGGAGCGGCGAGAGGGGAGTGGGCGGTGCGAGGGGGCGGCGCGAGGGGAGGGGGCTGGGGGGGTGCGAGGGGGGCTCTGAGAGAGGGGGCAAGGGGATGGGGGGCTCTGCGAGGGGGTGCAAAGGGGAGAGGGATAAAGGGGATGGGGGGCTCTGCGAGGGGGTGCAAAGGGGAGAGGGATAAAGGGGATGGGGGGCTCTGCGAGGGGGTGCAAAGGGGAGAAGGATGAGGGGGGCTCGCGGGGGGGGCAAAGGGAGAGGCATAAAGGGGATGGGGGGCTCTGCGAGGGGGTGCAAAGGGGAGAGGGATAAAGGGGATGGGGGGCTCTGCGAGGGGGTGCAAAGGGGAGAGGGATAAAGGGGATGGGGGGCTCTGCGAGGGGGTGCAAAGGGGAGAAGGATAAAGGGGAGGGGGGCTCTGCAAGGGGGGGGCAAAGGGTAGGGGGACAAGTGGGAGAGGGGCTCTGCGAAGGGAGTGCAAAGGGGAGGGGGGGCGATGCAACGGGGGCTGCAAAGGGGACGAGGATCTGTGCAAAGGGAAGGGGAGTCCGTGTAAAGGGGTGCAAAGGGAAGGGGATCTGTGCAAGGGGTGGGGGGTGCAAAGGGGAGCAGGGGCAGTCTGTACAGAGGGGGTACAAGGGGGCGGAACAGGTTGTACCGGGGGGGGTGGGGGTACCCCCTACCTGTTGCCCCCCCCGGCAGCCCGGAGGCGATCGCGGCTCGGCCGAGGGCATCCGCGGTGGGAGCGCGGCTGCGGTGGGGCGGGTCCCTCCCGCACGGGGCGGGAGGACGGACGGACGGACGGGCCCTGCGGCGCCCGCGCTGCGCTGAGAGCGAACCCCCCGCCCCGCCCCGCCGCCCCCCGGGAAGTTCAGGGGTGCTGCGGGGATGCTGCAGTGCCCGCGCCGAGCTCAAAATGCCACTAATGAAGAGCCGTGCTGCTAATTGCGCGCGGGTCGTACCCAGCAGCTGCCTGCGGCAGGTGGAGGAGAACGGGCTCCAAAAATGCCCCTGGAAGGATTTCGGCGGGGGAGAGGGAGAGCCACCTGAGCGCTGTCACCACTGCAGTAGCGTTAGTGCGAGAGCTCTTACGCTGGCAGTTTGCGTGGCACGAACCCAGGGTGAAAAATCGAGAATTATTGGTATCATCCATTCACTGGCGACTGCTAGAGGCAGCGCGGATGTTTCCCTGTGCCTTATCCATCCCTCTGAGGGATCCTCTTGTGTGTTTGCCAGGGCTGCAGCAAGCCTGCAGAGCTGCCACCCTGCCCACAGCAGCGTGCAGACGGCTTCATCCCACTGAAATGAGATCATAAAATCACGGAATGATTTGGGTCAGAAGGGACCTGAAGGATCACCTCGTTCCAACCCCACCCCCAACCTTCCACTAGATTGCTCCAAGCCCCATGAGCAGGGGTGCTTTGGAGACCATGGTCTGCATGGCTTTACCTCCCCAGTCTGTCCATGCATTCCCAAATCATGGTGGGGTTCTTGGGGTGTCCTGTGCAGGGCCAGGAGTTGGACTCGATGATCCTGACGGGTCCCTTCCAGCTCATCATATTCTGTGAGTCTATGAGCTGCAGGCAGCAGTGCTGTGGGTTGTCACCTGAGCCACCTGTACCCGGAAAAGTTCACTAATTTAGGAATGCCATGGGCAGGAGCCCCCACGTGTGGGGTGGGAGCCTCACAGAAACGGGAGTGGGTGTGGGAAGCTCAGCAGGGAGCTGGGAGAGTGAGCAAGTGCTCCTGCCAAGGGAAAAGCCAGAGGAAATCACGACCCGTAAGGAAAGGGGGAGAAACAGTCCTGCACAATTTGCTAAACCCTCCAGTATTTGCCTAAATTCAGGCTTTTGGCTGAATAAAAGGAGAATTTGTGGCAGTTCCTTGAACTTCACGGTGTCCTTCTACAGCACCGCTGACGCTGCAGAGCCCTGAGCCAAAATGCAGCAGAAAGGATGAAAAAGGGCTCCCCTTCTCCGAGAGCTGCAGGGATGACTCTGGGAGAGGCTTGACATGAGATAAAGTGGGAGAACATCATCATCCCACGTGGTGACATCCCGAGGGAGTGCAGGGATGGGGCTCTGCAGGAGCAGAGGGTTTGGGGTGCAGAGTCCCTGGGCAGCTTGTGGGCACTGAAATGGGGTAAATCTGTCACGTCAGTCGGCTGAAAAACATCACTAAGTCAGCCTTGGTCCCCCAAACCCTCAGATCTGATCTGGGGCGTGGGTACAACCAGTTCTCCAAGAGTCAACAGGGTCGAGTCCTTATCAAGTGGCGTCTAGACCTTACATCCATCCAGATCAATCCCTCTGGGTATTGTAAAACAATAGAAAAATCTGGTATTTATTCAGAGAAATGGAACAGTGGCTTTTCCAAGGGACAGTTATTTCTGACTGAGAGTTTCCAGCAGTGTCTGCAACCCAACCACTTGTGCTGGGCCAGGGCACTCGGAATATCAGTGCAAAGGTCTGTTTTCCCTAATGAATTCCCAAAGGGCCAACAAACAACCCGCAAGGAGAATAAACGCAATTTTTGAAATTCTTTCTTCGTCATCTCTGCAGCCATCCCCAAACAAGATAAAGTTCTTTAAGTATATATAGAAACTGAATTCTAATCAAGATAAATGCCCGGTTTCATACCTAATTTGCATGAGTATGTGCTGGAAACTGTGCTTGCAAATGAGAGAATTATGTATGTAACCAGATAACCTGAGTGTGCAATCCCAGTACCGTATATGCAAAACTTACTCATTGCACTTGAATAAAACTTAAGCTTCAGCAAAAAAGGAACTCGGCTTTAAAGGACCAGCACATTATTTTTATCATAAAAAATCGGGTTAAAGCTGATTTGAACCTTCCAAGAACACATTTAGCTGCTGAGGCAAATTCCAAATTATGTTTCTTACTCAACCTAACCTTAATAATAGACTAGTTGAGCTGCTGCACTGCCAGAGCTGGAATTTTTTTAATTTACTGGCGAAGAGAATTTCTACATTAGCGCCTGGCTATTTAAAAAATCTGTCCTAAAGTTGGCTGTGGACTCATGTGTGAATTAAAAAACTCGCTTTAAAAACCTTCATTACTACTTTCAAGTCCTCCTGAATTCCCCTGAAGATATCTTGAAAGATTTTTCCCCCTTTCCCATGCCTCCTCCCATCCTTACTAGGGAACAGCTGAGTCCATTAAAATTGATTTCAATCTCTCAGAGCAGAATTTGATTTCTCCAAGTTTCTGCCTGGAAAGAGCATGGAGTGTCCCAGCAATCCAGAGGTATCAGCTGGTGGAAAATGAGCAGTGCAGGCACAAGGATGAGGCATTCCCAACCCAGCTGGGTCGTGTTCTCAGTCAGAAGGCCAAGCCTTTGCTGGAATACTCAAAATTGGGATGAAATGAAACTTTAGGAAATTAATTGTGCTTCATTTGCCTTCTCCCATTAGTTTTAAATTAACAAAAAATTGAATTAAAAGGTAATTAAAGAGCCCAAATTAGAAACATATAATTTCCCAACATTGCCTTTTTTGGTTTTTTGTTTTGGTTTGTTTTTTTTTTCTTATTTCAGCTTTTACCAGGAGCTTGACAGCTACTCAGGGAGCCTGTGTCCCAGATGGATGGGATCCCTGGCCATACAGCTGAAGCATGGAGAGGTTGGGAATATTTCCTAGGGACACACAGGAAACCTGAGTCAATGCCAACAGGTCACAAATCTCTGTTCAGCCTTAGCTACACTCAGCATCTGTTCAGGTGGTGCAAGGGGAGCCTTGAAAACCTGAAAAAAAAACCCCTCAGTTTTGGGCAACATGTTCCTGTAGTGACATCACATGCAGGCAGGCCATTCCTCAAGAACATGTAATGGAATAAACAAGGATGGAGGAAGATTTCAGAGTACTACCCTTCACCTCTGCTCTTGTTTCAACCTAAGGAGTGCAGTAAAGAGAATATGAGAAGATTTAGGAGATGAAAACGGGCTGAGAAGCACATGAGTACCATTCAGGCCTTCCAAACCCTTTAATTTGCTATTCAGATCACCGCTTTTTATGGTTTAATATGTACAATATGCAAAGGAACCAGTTTAACTAAATGGGAAAACCCTTCTGTGTTAAGGTTGAACGTAATCTAATAGGGCCCTTTGACTTGATTCAATTAAATCCTTCTTTTTCCAATTAAATAATCAGCCAGAATTTAATAAAAATGAATTTCAATGTGTCATCCTGCAGAATGATGACCCCTGTGATGGGGAAGGCTTATGTAAATTCTGCTGATCGCTTTTTATCTGCCTCTGCCTCTCTTCCTCCAAAAAAAAATTGCCTTCTGTCTGTATATTTACATTAATTTCTCATCTGCTCCATGTATCTCTGTTTGCAGGAACAATCCCAGCTCAAAGGCCTGCGAGTATCAGCAGCTTCTTTCAGCACATCCTCAAAAAGGGACCTTCTGTGATGGGAAAAAGGTCTCCAAAGCGGGATTTTTGATCCGTGCCTTGGGTTTGTTATGCCCTGGCACACTGCAGGGCAGAGAGAATTTGGCCCCTTCCAAATGTCACCAGAGGCATCTGTGTGGCCATTCATCACCGAGACAATGCAGCCCAAGACACCAGCAAACTCCAGCAGCAATCCTCAGGAAAATCACAGCGTGGCCCGCCTTCCACAGTCTCTTCCAGCATGCCTCCACTAAGCAACTCCCATCAAAGTCACAATAGTTGATAATATCTACAATTTTTTTTTCCCCTCTGCAAAGGTCACATTATTATTTCTATTATTTATAACTGGATTTCACCCCTTCTCACTCATAAAAGGCAGAGCACCAATTCTTTCCTCCCTCAGTTGGAATATAGAGCAGCATCTTAATGCAGACCTCGCTGATGTGGTGCTGCTGT